CTCTACTCAGTGGCAGGTGTGTGTGTGTGTGTGGCTCCCCAGCACTGAGGGGGAACAATGGGAGGGACAGTGAGAGGCGGGACCAAAGAGCCAAAGCTCAACCCCCGCAAGCACAACTAGGTGAGTACACACACAAAACGCGCATGTACACACACGGATTTATTTGATAAGGTGGTTGTGCAGTTAATATTAGCTCTGTGGAAACCAATCAGGGGCTAGATTCACAAAGCAGTTACGCAAACACTTACGAACCTGTACATCTTTTTTCAATCTCTGGCGGCTTTGTTTACAATTATTAAACAGTTAATGAGCTCTGAAGCACCAGGAGGCTGTTTATAACAATAACAACAGTTTATTGGCAAGTTTTCATGCTTGTAAACTGTTTAATAAATGTAACCAAAGCCGTCAAAGATTGAGGAAAGATGTACACATTCGTAAGTGCTTGCGTAACTGCTTCGTGAATCTGGCCCCAGGTTCCCAGCATCTACTGAAGACTTCAGTCTGTTGACCATCCTGCTTACTTGATATAAAAAAAAACTTGAAATTCTGGTATGTAAGCAAGCGTGATGTGACTTAACTATGTGCCCCGTCCATGCTCTCTTTTCATCCCTTCTCTTCCTATCTATTTATGTCTCGGTTTGCTTCTTTCTGTCTTATTTCACTTGTATTTCTCATTTAATTTTTAATTTTGCCCCGAGGAGCGACTTTATTAGGCAGCGTCATTCATCCTGTGAGTGAACATACCGCTATACATAATGCTTAACACCTTCTAATAGGAGGAAAACCATATGGGTTGTTCATTCTATTCCATTTTCCGCTTACTTTGTATAGCTTTCCTTTCTTCTGATAAGGGCTCGATTTTCATGCTTTACCCTTCCACATACCCCTCACTTCCCCTCGCCTCATCGTCTCTTTTGCCTGATATTGGTTCACTCTCCCACTGTTTTCTTACGGGCTATTCATGCCCCTGCCACCTCTTGGGTGGCTTAATCTTAAATCAATCAATCAATCAATTACTGTTTTCCAGTTACGACTTGATAAGGGGACGGAGTGCAACGTCGTCGCCTCCATTTTAAGTGTGGGTTGAGTTATTTATTGTGAGCATCTCAGTGTAGTTTACGACGCTGAGAACAAAAACTTCTGGTGTTGGAGAGCGTTCCATAAAAGGACCCGGAGTTGGAATTCACGTCATTGAAAGTTGCACAAGTGGCAGCTGCAGTTAAAAAAAAAAAGTAGGAATAATCAAACAAACCTTTGACTTCAAGGAAAAGAAGGTGGTTATTCAACTATGCAAATCTCTGGAGCGCTCCCATTTGGACAACTGTATCCAAGCATGAAGACCTAATCTTCAGGACAGCTCTGCTTTACAGAAAGTACAACGCAAAGCGAGAAAAATCATCCTAGAACTAAGTCGACCGGCTCCCCACCAGGGAAGCCGGTGGCTGAGCGCACAGAACACTGGGCGCGTGATCGATCTGGTCCCGGGTTCGATCCCAGGCGCCGGCGAGAAACAATGGGCAGAGTTTCTTTCACCTTGATGCTCCTGTTACCTAGCAGTAAATAGGTACCTGGGAGTTAGTCAGCTGTCACGGGCTGCTTCCTGGGAGTGGAGGCCTGGTCGAGGACCGGGCCGCGGGGACACTAAATCATCTCAAGATAACCTGAGTCTCATACTAGTAACGGTTGATGGCCACGGGGCTACTCTACTCTCCAAACCAGACATGACAGGGCTCATCTCATAACAACTCTTAAGGTACTGAACAAGTTGAAGGATATTAATCCAGACCACTTCTTTAAGAGGTCACATGTAACACGTACAAGGGACAACAGTAAACACGCCGCACTGTACGACAGAAAACAGATGTTTTTTAACCCATGGGGTTATGAACCCACGGCACCGAATACCCGCTGAACCCGTAAGTGACAAAATATTACTGCAGTTCAAAATCTAGATGAAAAAAAATATGGGAGACCTTTGACAAGCCGACGGCTTCCTGTCTCCGTCCTGGGCACTAGATAGATATTGACCTTTAAGTATAATCCAGGTAAATATTTAACCTGGCGACAAGGACCAGCCCGTCCTCCTAAGGTTCCCCAACGTCAAGAAACTGTCGTACTAAAGTGCACTACCCTAACCTACCAGAGGACCCAAAACAGAAAACGGAACAGTATATCAATTTCGCGAGCCGCTGCCATTTTCTAGTCCGACAATTTTTGCCCTTCAACACGAAAACCATTAACCTCAACTCTAAGACTATATTGGCAAAGAATATTGTCCACCCCCCTAACCCCCAAAGAATTAGTTAATTATTTTCATGAAATCGGACGAATATAAAAAAAATCCGCATGTTTATTAATGTTTACTATAGAATAAATTTCAAAATTTCTAAAATATTTAATTTTTTTATAACCCTGACCCAAAAATAAATACACAAGAATGCACCTGCATTGTGACAGCCCGCATAAAAAAATGCTATATAATGAAATCAGAGAAAAATTTACAAAGAAATGTCACAGAATCAGTCCTACAGACAAAGCTATTCGTGAACTTGTGAACAAGTTTCCCGGTCCAAAGTCCAAGGTCCGTGACAGTATAGAAAGAGTATGACAAGTGTTCGAGGATGAAGCAACAGCATCGGTTAGGGAAGCCAGTCGAAGACTCAACATACCCAAGGCAACAGTTCATGGAATCTTGCGTTCGACATCGAAGCAATATGCAGGGATGCAGACGGAGCACATATTGAAAGTTCTCAAGATTTGACATGATTTATAACTGTCTGACTGTACATGGTGTCTCAGAATTAGCTATTTCAATGAAATCTGATGAATCAATTAAAAACTACATAATTCCAGGTTTTTACCTAAATATGATACAAAAAAATAGATTTATAATTCATACATGTTAGGCTCCGATATTTATGAATTATAAATATATCTCTTTTTTTGCATCATAATTAGGCAAAAACATTAAATTATGGAGGTTTTAATAGATTCGTCCGATTTCATAGATATAGCTAGCTAATTCTGGGTCACCGTGTACAGTTATGAGCAAAGAGTAAAAAACAAATTATACACAACATAAAAGCTTGCTTATGTTAAGTGTGTAGTGTTGTGCATTTCTGGAGCGAGAACACCAGCAGATGAATGATCCGGTGTCCTTGGTGGGGGGCCATGTGTGTTGTGGGGCCCAACTGTGAGGGGTCTTGAGTTTAGTTCATTTATTATGCACTTTATACCCATCCTGTGAGTGACAGTGGAACCCCATACCCATCCTGTGAGTGACAGTGGAACCCCATACCCATCCTGTGAGTGACAGTGGAACCCCATACCCATCCTGTGAGTGACAGTGGAACCCCATACCCATCCTGTGAGTGACAGTGGAACCCCATACCCATCCTGTGAGTGACAGTGGAACCCCATACCCATCCTGTGAGTGACAGTGGAACCCCATACCCATCCTGTGAGTGACAGTGGAACCCCATACCCATCCTGTGAGTGACAGTGGACCTCATACCCAACCTGTGAGTGACAGTGGGCCCCATTCCCATCCTGTGAGTGACAGTGGACCCCATACCCATCCTGTGAGTGACATTGGATAACATACCCATCCTGTGAGTGACATTGGACAACATACCCATGCAGTGAGTGAGAGTGGATGCCATACCCATTTTGTGAGTGACAGTGCACCCCATACACATCATGGGAGTGACATTATATGTGAGAGGTAATGGACCTCATACCCATCCTTTGATTGGTAGTGTATATGGGAGCGGTGGTGTAATAGGTCTGCAGCTATAAGAGTGTATATAGGAATAGTGTGTCTCAGGTCTGCCGGGTGTGTGGGAGCAGTGTGTCGTAGGTCTGGCAGGTGTGGGTAGGGTGGAGCCAGGTGTGTGGGAGCAGTGTGTCTGGCAGGTGTGGGTAGGGTGGTGCCGGGTGTGTGGGAGCAATGTGTCGTAGGTCTGGCAGGTGTGGGTAGGGTGGTGCCGGGTGTGTGGGAGCAATGCGTCGTAGGTCTGGCAGGTGTGGGTAGGGTGGAGCCAGGTGTGTGGGAGCAGTGTGTCGTAGGTCTGGCAGGTGTGGGTAGGGTGGAGCCAGGTGTGTGGGAGCAGTGTGTCGTAGGTCTGGCAGGTGTGGGTAGGGTGGTGCCAGGTGTGTGGGAGCAGTGTGTCGTAGGTCTGGCAGGCAGGGCTCCATTTTTATGTGAGCTGCTCTCACCAAACTCTCAATGCACTATACATTTAAACATTCCACTCAACACGAGAATCAGGAAATGTAATAATGAATGTGGAGAAAATCAGTGAATTATTACAATTTCATTAGTTCTAAATTGTATTCATTAGTAAATTAATTGAAAATTATGTTGGTAATATAAACGGGGTTTGATGGGTACGGCAGCGAGGTCTTTGGGCGGGGGTGGTGGGGCTACTCATTCACCTGAATCTCTGTTGGCTGTATGTTGACTTGTCGTGTGATTGTTATAATGATCAAGGTGTGTAAAACGACGCTATTGATGAAAATAACTTATTTGATATTCAATTCTGCGGTACATTCCCTGGTAACATGTTGTATTCTAAAGTGGCAATGCTTGTTACTTATTCAGGCCGGCGCCAACAATAGTCCGCGGTGATGGCTTGTCAAGCGTCTGCTCCTGAACCCATGAAAACTTGTAACTATTATTACAATTAAGTTTAAATAACAGTACATGATATATTTCACATAATATCATGTTGATGTAACGCTAATTATATAACCGTTGAAAGCTACTATTATCAATTTATTCTTAAAGAAAATTAAACACATGCAGGCGATAGCAATTTGGGACAGACATAAATTCCTATATAGATATGCCTTTATAAGCTTACTTTATTCAACGCTAGAATATATAATATATATGTAGGCTTATGTATATATTTAACTACTATGAATTCTACATCGGCAACTGAAGTTTAGCATTAAAGTGCTGAGAGTTAGCGGAGGTGGAGCCAGCGAGGCAGTGGGCGTACCGCAGCCGCCCAGTGTGCGTCTGACTGTGTAGCGGGAGGAGGTACACTCACTCTCCTCTCTCAGTGCTGTGCTGGTGAGTGGCATTCTGGACCTGCCCCACAGCATTTGTGCATCATATTCTTTATAAGGATTACAGAAACCAGTTGTGCCATAGTGGTTAATCCTGGCAGAAGAGTTTTGCCATCTGAAGGAGTTGATCTGTCAAGACGCCCAAGGTAAAGAAAGACTTGACTGCAGTTTACTACCCTAAGGAGCTCCTCTGCGCCGTTTTGGGAAGCAGACCATATTGGAACACGCGCAACACTTTCCAAGAGAAGCATCTAAATAATGATACTAACCCAAGGGGGTGCTGCACATTGGGCACTGCCTTGCTCCAACAATGCCAGCTACTTCATCATAGTTTGTACTTGATACAAATAGCATATCACTCCATGGACCACAGTTTTTAGTGGTTGATAGTTAAGACGATTCTCTAGTCACTCCTCAAAAAGCGCGTTTTCCTATATTCTCAGCTTTCCGAAGCAGCACATGTGCGTTAGGCCTGTTGACAACAGTACAGGATATCAATGATTCATTTACTTTAACAAAAATACTTTTGTTTTCGTTGCCACAGACACTATTATAAGGGAACTAGTTATATTATTATTATTACCTGTTGATAAAAATGTCCCGGTACTACAGTTGGGCTCGTTCTCGACACGCAATCGAGAATTCCGGGTTCGAATCCGGGCGGGACAAATTGTTGGGCATATTTCCTTTCATCTAATGTCTGTTCACCTAGCAGTAAGTAGGTATTCAGGAGTCAGTCAGCTTGTGGAGTTGCATCCTGGGCGGTCAATAATTAGACGGTACACTTACATCTCATCAGGCTTGGATACCCATGTGCATGGCAAATAGGCTGAAGATGAGAGGAAATGTCAGCACTGTAGAGAAATGCCCGACAGACCACTGGAACATTATCTAACACAGTGCACAGTTACAAACCCATTAAGATTTCAACTTGGATTCAACAGAGCAGAAGTTGTTAAACACATGGGACAAAATCTTGCTGACGCGACTATACGAGTCGTAAATACTCATACTCCGTCCAAGTAAAACAGTAACAAGCAACACTTAATGGGCCAGCCAGAGGCTTATAGGGCCCGCAGGAATATCCCTGCAAAAAAAAGTAATTAGACCTTTTTTGGGGGGTCTTTTTTTTGGGGGGGGGGTTTAGTTTAGTTCATTTATTATGTACCCTCATATCCTTCTTGTGGGCGGTAGTGGAAAGGGTTACAGAGGCACATAATGGGCTCAGGGACTGAACCCCACAACTCATTTAGCTAAGCAAGTTACAATCTTGATGAGTTGGTTACAAAATTCAATGTAAGTCGTCACATCAACAATGGGTTCGAGATCGACCTCAAGTACAGGTCGAGGGGGGGGGGTGATCGTTAAAAGCCTAACGTGTATGAATACACCCTGGGTCCCCCGACAATTAACAGGAATATCCAGCCAGAGGCTTATAGGGCCCGCAGGAATATCCCTGCAAAAAAAAGTAATTAGACCTTTTTTGGGGGGTCTTTTTTTGGGGGGGGTTTAGTTTAGTTCATTTATTATGTACCCTCATATCCTTCTTGTGGGCGGTAGTGGAAAGGGTTACGAGATCGACCTCAAGTACAGGTCGAGGTTGGGGGGGGTGATCGTTAAAAGCCTAACGTGTATGAATACACCCTGGCTTTCTGTCCCCCGACAATTAATTATTATTATTATGTTATCAGAATATTTGCATTTTGTGCATATTGCTTTGTATCTTTGAGTGGGCCAAGTCTCTACTGTATAGTCAAGCAGTCTCCGTAGCACAGTCGTAAAATGGTAAAACACTCCCCCTCCCCCCCTGGTGCTTCGAAAGCGATTTGGTCTGGGTTCGATTTGACCCTAGTCGGGAAGGATTGACTGAGCTCCAATCCTTAACTTGTAAGCCTCTGTTCACCCAGCAGTGAATGGGTTATTAAACGATTTGGCGGTTCGTATTCCGGGGAAAATTGGGATTAAGGACCTAAGGTACAAAAATCGACCAACCTGGAACTCTACCGAATTCACTGCGTCCAGAGTCGTGTCTGTTAGGACATGGGAAGGCAAAATGCAAGAGAGTGCTCATCTACGACCGTCAGCATAATAGCATTGCAGGACTACCTGATGGTAGAGATCCCTTAAAATTAATGCTGTGCTACTGCATATGCTGAGCCGCTTTTAATAGGTGTCTTATGATGGGTGGTAGACTGTGGTTCAATTTTTGCACGTACCTTGCAAGATGCACCTGTCTTTTATATGTTCTGCAGAGTACAGGAGTTTTTATGATCTCTCAAAGTGTAGGAATAGAGGCACTCCAGGGTGGCAGAGCCCATTATGAATTTCAGCGAGGGAGTATGCAGGAATAGGCTGAAGATGTACTGACAATCCAACATACCACATGCCGAAACAAACGACACACAATGTCAACCCATGGTGGACAGGCCACCGAACTTTCAAACCTCCTCTCTCTCTACACCCGCATCCTCTTCCAGAATTTCATCCCCCCATCCCTCTACCTTCCCCATCCTTTCCAAACCCTTTGGACATCAAAACGAAAAGCACAATGCTTTAGTCAGAGTACCAGGAGCCACACCTCCTCCAGGGCGATACTGTATGGTATAGGTAAAGGATGCCAGCTCCATCCTTCATTATTGTATTTTATTATCAGGTCGATCACCTTGGATCAAGAATACTGATATGACTTCTTTTGAGGCATCGCACTCCACAAATGGCAGGTCGTCGTTAACATCTCGTAGTTACATCCACGAATCGTGTTTAGAGTTCAAATGCTGTCACATAAGTTTTGCTTAGTGGAAACGTCTTGCTTCTTATCAAAGGTTGAATCATGTCTGATAAATTGAGGAACCATTTAACATAAACATTCCCAGTGCCCTCCACATAGAACTTATAATCGTAAGTAAAGGCAGTTCTTGGAGCGACCGCATCTGCTCAGTCTCAGGCTTCATGGTTTTTCTTGAGATTTTCCTCTTCTACAAGTTTGTTCATGAAACTTTAAAATACAGCAACTTCATTTGTGACACCAAATAGTATTATGTGGATGTAATACCCCCTCCCGTCACCCCCAAAAACTGTGTACATCGTATCAGATTGCTTAAGTGTGAGAATAGTCAATAAAGAGTGTATTTTTGTATGTTGTATGAGTCTTTCCAAACAGTTTGGCACACCGTGGTGATGAAACTGCTCCAGTGATGCCTTCAGTGAGTGAAACGTTGGTTTGATGGAAAGGCGGTCATCCGTAGTGAAGCGCCGTGACATCGTTGAAGCGGGTTTACATTTGTGGCCAGGTTTGGAAAAAGCGATGGCTCTTCCATCAAAACTGCAGATAATGCATAGACTGAATTAATGCCAGCAACTGTGAGATCTGGTTTATGCCCTGTATATTGGAATGCCACACTTTCATGTTTCTGAAATTCTTAGTCAAAAAGCGAGTCACAACACGTCTTTTAATATCTCACGTCTAGTAGATGTATAAGTTTGGCCATTAAGTTCCAAACAGCATTAAAAAACAACAGCAGCAGCAAAAGCTAGTAAATAATGACGTTGCTACCATAGATCTTAAATAATGGATATATTGTTAAATTCTCGCTGTACTTGGGGAAACTATTTGAGCTTCACGAATCAATTAGTGTCTTCAGGGTTCATTTACTGTAACTTCAGGGTTGCACGTGAGAGGCTCTGAGTAGAGGTAGTTGTAATTTCTGGGTCAAATAATATACACGTGGGCCAGGTCCCAAATCTGCACAGTAAAATAACAACGTACTGGAGTGAACGATATGGAAGAAAATGCAGTGAACCAGTGAAGAGCAGAGGTGCCAAAGGCACTATCAGAGACTGTATAAACATCAGAGGCCCACTGTTGTTCGACACCCTCCCAGCGAATATAAGAAATATTGCCGGAACAACCGTGGACATCTTCAAGAGAAAACTAGGTAATTGTCTTCAAGAAATGCCGGTCCAACCGGGCTGTGGTGGGTATGTGGGCCTGCGTGCCGCTCCAAGCAACAGCCTGGTGGACCAAGCTCTCTCAAGTCAAACCTGACCTTGGGCTTGACCTCCCCGGGCTCAGGGAGTAAAAGAACTCAAAGAACCCTCTCCAGGTATGCTCCGCAGGCCCACACATCCACTACAACCTGTTTGGTCGGCCATTTCCTCCAAGAACTTGTCTGGTTGTATTTAACACGTCCACTTTTGTTCCTACCTTGAGGTTACCTTGAGGTGCTTCCGGGGCTTAGCGTCCCCGCGGCCCGGTCGTCGACCAGGCCTCCTGGTTGCTGGACTGATCAACCAGGCTGTTGGACGCGGCTGCTCGCAGCCTGACGTATGAGTCACAGCCTGGTTGATCAGGTATCCTTTCCAGCAATATTTCTTAGGTTTGGTGGAAGGATATTGCACAGTCGTGGATCTCTGATGTTCATCGTGTTCTGATTGTGCCTTTCTCACCTTTCTTCACAAAGTCTATTCTTTATTTCCTAACATGTCATTCGCTCTCGTATGTTGTTACTTTTTGATCCGAATTTGGGATCTGGCCTTCCAGAATATTACACGTATATATTATGTGATACCTCATTCGGTTCCTTCCTAGAGTACATTTTGAGAGCGTCAGACGGTCCTAATAATTGATGTGCTTTACCGCACTAACCTAGTTGTGCTTGCTGGGGCTGAGCTTCGACTCTCTGATCTTCTCTCAACAGTTAATCAACTGGTGTACAAGTTCCTGAGCCTATTGGACTTTATAATATCTACATTTGAAACTGTGTATGGAGTCTCCCTCAACCACAGAACTTCCTAATGCATTCCATTTATTATAACTGACACTGAAAACATTATTTCTAATGTATCAATGGCTCATTTGATTACTAAGTTTCCACCTATGTCTCCTTGTTCGTGTTCCACCCTTGCTAAATAATTTGTCTTCGTCCCTGTCTATTCCTCCGAGAATTTTGTAGGCGATCATGTCTTCCCCTTACTCTTCTGTCTTCCAAGGATGTGAGGCTTAGCTCCCGTAGTTTTTTCTCATAGCTCATACTTCTCAGTACTGGGACTATTCTGGCGGCATACTTCTAAATCTTCTCTAACGTTGTTTTGTGTTTAACAATACTCATGGCTGGAGCTGCATACTCCAGGATTCGTTTGGCATAAG